TGACTGATCATTTTCCTTAATTTTCTAACTGCAAGCCTATATGCTAGATGTTTTTACTTACATAATCTTATGAGATCCCCACAATAATTCTGAAAGTAGATACTGTTATCTATACTCCTATGAATGAAGAAGCTGAAACCCCCAAAGCGCCCCACTCCTCGTGGACTCTCCTAGTGGTGATGAGCTGACTCCTGGGCTCAGCAATAGTTTATTGTTGGTTAGTGAGCTACAAGTGATTCCAGCCCTCAGTAACTGAGTGATTGCCCGGACTCTAGACTTCCATTTAAAAGTGTACTTCATTCTAGCAACCCCTGGAAGGTTGTTAGACACATAGAGAGATGTTCAGGCCCCAGCCTGGATCTATGGAATCAGAATCTGCGTTTTAGCAGGATCCCTGAGTGATTCATGTATAAGTTCATGTTGGAGAAATGCTGCCCTAAATCATAAGCTTGAAATCTGAGGCAATTATAATAAAATAGTTCATCAGGCTTCTTCTGCATCTGCACAGAAAAAATGATCCAAAGAAGGAAGACCATGGAAGGTTTTTTTTTTCTTTTCATTGCATGTCTACTGTATGTATAAAGTGGACATTATCCTCACTTGACTGGTGAGGAACCTGAAACGCTGAGAAGTTAAATTACTAGTACAACGTCACACAGCTACTGAGTGCTTTAGCCAGGCTTCAGGCTTCAGGCTCCAAAGTCCATACTCCTTGCTGCCTATCATATTGACCTCTAGGCAGCCAGCAGGAAACAAAGGAGTCATTTTTTCGTTTTACCATATCTTTTTATTGGTCTGAGTTATTCCATGCAGCTGTAGACTTCAGTCACCTGGAACATCATCGCACAAGAGTCCTGCAGTTTGGGGGTGATAAAAATAGAACAAGTAGGAACAAGTAGGTTCTATGCTAACAGCTCTTCTCTGAGGTGTTTTTCCTTTCTCCTTAAGCAAGCCTGACCTCCAAATTGTCTGCCCAAGCTGCTTTCCACAGCCAAAGAGAAAGACTGGCAGAAAGGACCATTCTGCTCTTTAGAAGGATGGCTGCAGTGCTAGCCTGGAAGACCAGAAGAGAGGGCCCTGACCTTCATTGGTTTTCCAGAGTACAAAGTTTTAACCTCTTCTCATCTGGTTTCATTTTGCTATGCAGTCATTTCTTAGTTTGAATTGAATTAGTCCATGAATCATAAGCCAGAATTTGCTGCATTAAGCCCCCACCTACTACTAAACCTCTTCTGATACCTAGTGGCTCAGTGGTTAACCTCTCCGTTGGTCAGTAACTGAAAGATCATAGGTTCAAACCCACCAGCTGTTCCGACAGAGAAAAGACTTAGTGATCTTCTCCTGTAACGATAACAGCCTAGGAAACCCTATGGGGTATTTCTACTAACATCCTTTGCTGTAAGTCAAGACTCGATGGCACATAACAACAAAAACTTTCAAGGAATTGGTTTGAGCAGGGATTCAAATCTACTTATTTTATGAAAGTTTGCATCAGAAAGGTAAGTATTTTGCTTCTTGAACTGGTTCTATTCACTCACTATAAACTCTGCCTTCTTTATTGCCACTATAAATGTTGAACTGCCCAGTGTCTCTTACTGTTCTTATTCTGTACTCTGATGCATGGTCCACCAAACTGTGAACTCTTTGAGGAGGGTGTGTGTTTCCTATTCATCTGTTTTATTGGCTTACAGCAGGATTTTTAGAAGAGGCATTCAATAAGTGTATTCTTTCTGTATGAATGAATGTGGACTTAGAGCAGGGGTCATAGTAACAGCTAACACACACTGAGAATTTACTATGTGCCAAATTCTATATGATTTTCTCATCAACCCATTGCTGTAGGTCCTATTACCATCTCCATTTTACTCAGAGGAAGTTTGAAAACTAGAAAGGCAAAGTAACTTTTCTTAGTTACATATCTAGTGATGGGTGGCCTGGAGTCTGAAAACCATGTAGTTTGACTCATAACCAAAAGGCTATTCTGCCTCCTAAAACTAATGTTTAAGTGTGTACTATTTGTCAAGCTCTCTTTATGTGGAACCTTGCTTGCCTTCATTTTAAACAGATGTGGAAACTGAGACCCTGACAGGTTAAATGATTTGACCAAAATACAGTTACCTAGTGACAGGAAGGAGTCCTGGTGTGGTGCTGTGGGTTAATACACTGGACTGCAAAGTCATTTGAACCATAAGGTCAGCGGTTCAAGCTCACCAATAACTCCTCAGAAACCCTATATAGGGTTGCTATGGGTCGGAACCGACTCAACGGCACTTAACAACAGCAGTAGATGACGGGAAGAGAAGAACTCAATCTGCCCTGCAGGCGAACCCAGATTCTTCAATCTGGCTGTCTGCAGCTGCATCCCAGGCTCAATGACTACAGTCCATGAGCCTCACACACCTATTTCCAAGGAGGCTTCAAAAAGTTCCATTGTTTTTTCCACACTTTTTTATGCCCCCTTGTGCATTACCTCATTTAAAGTGCACAGCATTCGTGTGCATTGTTGATGGTTTTCTTTTTATTCTTCGCATTTATAAGGGAGACTGAGGCTTATGTGTCAGTAGTGTGATTAGTGGAATCAGTGATAATAGCTAATATTTATAATGGCTTTTTATATGGTGCTTGTTGTTACCCTGTGTCCTAGTGTCGATTCTGACTCATGATGACCCTGTATAGGGTTTCCGAAGAGCGGCTGGTGGTTAACAGTCCGGTGCTTATCCTATAATGCCACACCTGTGTTCTGGGTGTACCACTTTAAGTGCTTTACATGCATTATCTCATGTAACTCTTACTACACCCTGTAATCGTTGTACGTTAAAACATAATGGAAGGTTTTTAAGATATTATTGTGAATTGAGTGAAAGTTTGCAGGGCAGATCATCAGTTTTACATTCAACAAATCATATACTTTGTTTCATTACAATGATTATAATCTCCACTATGTACCATCAGTTAATAGTATTTCTCTCTATTAATTTTAGCTCTTTTTTTTTTTAAACAACAACATTTAGGCATATATAATAATTTACACCACCAAAGGGCACATTCCGCAAGTCTGCCTCCTGGCTGCCAGCTCTCAGTCCCTCTCTTTCCATGAATCTAGAGTCCTCAGCTGCCCCTTCCATGTCCCCATCTCTGCCTTCATCTCTGATGTCGCTGCTTCTCTGGATAGGGTCCCACATTCCACTTGTGCTCTTCTTTGATGGTCCTAGAGCCCTCTGTTTCTGGACTGTACTATTAACTACTCCCCCATTTTTGTTCCAAAATTTCTACCTGTATGATTGTGACAGTTGCCGTTAGTCATGATAACAGTTACTCACTATTGAATCATAAGAATCTTATCCCCATCTCTTTTTACCAGAGTCATCTAGACAAGATGAAAACTATTCAGTGGGGACTCTGTCTTCCCCCACACAATCTTAAATTAAACTCCCTCTTGTAATCTTGTAAGCCAATCACTTCGTACCTTTACTGCCCCCTCATTTTAGGTAGCCAATATCTAAGTTGCCCATCTCATCTATCCTGTGTACAGAGGGGATAGCATTGATACTTGATGTGAAGACTCCTTCCCTCTTTGTTGGTATTTTGAGCTATTACCTCCATGAGTATAGTTCAAGTTCATCAAACTGTAGCAGTTTATACTCGTTTATCAAAAATTGTCTTCTTTTTTATCATCATCTAGTCAAGTTCTGATTATCAAGCCGTTGAGGCTAAGTCAAATGGGTACAATCTGCAAGTTTGGGTGTTCTTGTGCATCTCTCCTCACCATATCAGCTGGATGCTTCACTCTCAGCTCTTGCCCTCTGTGGCTATGTCCTTGTCCAGGGGCTCATGTGTCCCCAGGTCTCACTACACTTTGGACCAACGAGCCCTTCCTCTTTCTCATCTCCAGGTCAATAGGAATCTGTGGAACGTTGTTGAACTCAGCCTATTTCTTCATGGCTGCCTTTCCCCCTCTTCCACTCACCCGTAGACAATGCGGTCACCAACAAGCTTGCATGCCTGCTTATGTGTTCCCTATGAGTTTCTGTCTTAGAGGGGGGTTTGTCCTGAAGGGACTTGATTGCTTGCCTTGATGGCTCCCCAGCAAACACTTGCTTATTTTTGTAGTGGCCAGTCATAAACTGCCATTTTTGTTTTGGGTTTTTCCTGATGATCTTGCTTTGAAAGATGTATCTTCTATCACTCTAGCTGTTCCAGACTGGTCTGCTTGTCCTTTCTAGTGGGAATGTCCCACCTTAGGAAGTTCTGGATGGGGCTCAGGATTCCACCTAAGGTCCTGTACACTGCAAAGGCTCTGCAAGAGGAGTATTTCACTGGGCAAATTATAGAACACCTTTTAGTTATTCCAGTCAGCCTCGGAAACCCTGTACAGGGTCTCTATGAGTTGGAACCAACTCCATGGCACATAACAACAACAAATCAGTTATATAAGCCCCAGAAGTAGTTTTTAACTTGCTTTTATGTTTCTACGTTCTGTGTATCTTTACAGGGGTGTCACCTGGTAGTTGTAATGAATGTAATCGTTCCTGTTTGGGGGTCTAATAACATTTTCTCTTAGTTTTAAGACTGTTTGATTCAGCCAGTCCAATCCATTACCCAGGTGGGCTTATAAGCTTTCTGTAATCATGTTTCATGACATTCCTTTCTAACCCACTCAAGTATCTATTTTACAATAGTAGGCAAGGGAAATCAATACTCATAAGACAGTCAAGCATGTTGGTATTATTTCCCCTCTTCAGACTCTGCTTGTATCCCTGTATCACAGAGTCCTATTGTCCCAAGGTTGAGCTTGCTTCACTATTTACCTCTGTCCCATTTAGCCCATGCAAACCTGTCTCAGTGTTCCCCCTCTCTTCTTTGTTCTTCAGCCCCCTCACTGTAATGAAAGGTATTATTATCCCTATATTGTAGGCATTGCCTGAGTTCTCACAACTGATAAGTGACTAGACCAGATTCACCAGGCAGTCTGATTTCAGGACCTGTCTTTCTCTCCACAGGCACCCAAATTGGCCGAAAACTTCTGTGTTTGCCATTTGGCTACTGGGGACATGCTGAGAGCCATGGTGGCTTCTGGTTCAGAGCTGGGAAAAAAGCTGAAAGCAACCATGGATGCTGGGAAACTGGTAGGTTTGGTGGTAGCAGTGTGTGTGAGTGTAACTATTCCTCAGAGTGTAAACCTGCACTGTCCCGTGTAGTCAGCAGCCGGGCAACTGGTTATATTTAAATACATATTAACCATCAGTTCTTCAGTCACACTAGCTACATTGTCTGTATGCACCAGCCAGAAAGTTCTTTTGGACCGGCATGGGCTAGAGAGTATTTTAACATACTGACTGACATGGGCTTTTAGAGTAGCAAGTTATTTCATTCTGAATTTATAGCACTTACTTATTTTTACTTACTTTATTCACTATTCTTGCAATTCCTTTGTGCCTGGAGTATTTTGGGTCCAATTTTTAGGGCCAAAAATGAAATTGCCATTATTAAGGCAAAAACCAAGGATAAATTTTCAAGCGAGGACTCGTGAAGCCCCAGAAGTAGTTTTTAACTTGCTTTTATGTTTCTACGTTCTGTGTATCTTTACAGGGGTGTCACCTGGTAGTTGTAATGAATGTAATCGTTCCTGTTTGGGGGTCTAATAACATTTTCTTTTAGTTTTAAGACTGTTTGATTCAGCCAGTCCAATCCATTACCCAGTAAATGTTATTAATATATTTTTAGGCAATGACTGCATGTGTTTTATGGTTGGTTGGTTTGCAAACTTCACAGCTCCCTGGCATGTGAGCTTCCTATGCACACTGTGCACATATTATACGAGGGGACTTCAAAATGTTCATGGAAAACTGAAGTTCAAAGATAGTAGAATTTTTTCCAAACTTTTTGAAGCCACTTTGTATGTGTGTGCACACTGTTTATATAGATGTGTTATATGTGGAAAATAGGTAGTGCTGTAGCTTAGTTCTAACTGCATTATATTGGGGCTCAGCCTTTAGGAATTGACTTCAGACGTCACTTTGCCCTTGGTCCTCTGGTCTTTAAGTATCTTAGAATGTTGGTTGGGGAAGGTGCTGGATTTGCCTTTATCCCCAACTTATCTTCTATTCACCTTTCAAATTCTTTAGCTATGTCAAATGGTGCCCCCTGTCCACCTGCCTGCCCCCATTTTCCTCTCCCTTGGAATTAGTGAGGCCTTGCATGAAGCCAGAAAGCTAGATGTTTTGGACTTTGGATCTTGGAAGAAGATCCTGTACTGAGAAAACACTGGGCTGTGGCAATGAAATTGTCTCGAGCCTTCACTTACACTTTGTCCCTAAGTTCATAGCTGGTCTTGGGAGATAAGAATATTAACTGCTTAATTGAGCAGGCTTCACCGTAAAACAGGCTGAGAGCTTTTCTTTCTAGTTAAAAAAAACAAAACCATAAAACAACCCCACTGCCATCAATTCCAACTCAAAACGACTCTGTAGACCCTATAGAACAGAACTGAATTACTCTAGAGGGTATCTGTTGTGTGAAGTGCCATCGAGTCGGTTCTAACCCATATCAACCCTGTGTAGGGTTTCCAAGGAGTGGCTGGTGAACTTGAACCTCTGACCTTGCGGTTCAAACCAACTTTTCAATCTAGCACATTAACCCACAGTACCACACTAGGATTCCTGTCTGAGAGTATCTGAGATTGTAAATATTTACTAAAGCAAACTGCCTCATCTTTCTGCTTCAGAAGCACCTTATGGGTTCGAACTCATCAACCTATTGGTTAGCAGCCCAGTGTTTAACCCACTGTACTACCAGGGTACCTTTTCTTTCTATGAAAGCCCAGGACCTTTTTGAAATCTGGGAAGGGTTTTCATTGGGATTTTTAGAGACATTTCCTCCTGAAGCCCTCTTCAAGTGCCCTTTCAGCTACATAACCTGTCTTTCTTGTGTCTTGAGGACAGCTGATTGTTGGTAGACTGTTATCTTATGGTTAGGACACTGAAGCTAGTGGCAGGAGAGCTCTTTAAGACCTAAGACATTGATGAAGTTCCTCAGGGAGTGAAAGGCAGTAGGATTTTCTCTCACCCGGATCATTAGAATGTAGGAGAATTTTAAGGAAAAAAGAATGTGTACAGGGCAATCATAGAAATAATGAATCTGGAATCTGGATCTTCCAAACGGAGCCACTCCACATTTGCTCTGGTGTTTGTTTCTGTGAGGTCAAGAAGACATGCTGTTTGGTAATCTGGTTTGTTGTTGTTGTAGTTGTATGCTGTTGAGTCAGTTCTAACTCATAGTGACCCTGTATATAGAGTTTCATAGAGCAGCTGATGGATTTGAACTGCTGACCTTGTAGTTACCAATCCAGTGGTTATCTTGCTGTACCACACCAGTCGTTAGGCAATGCAGTTGTAAACCTTTGACTCTGGAATTGGGCTCTTGTCATATGGTTAATGGATTTGAACTCAAGCCTGTTTTGTTCTTGATTTCTAGGTGAGCGATGAAATGGTGGTGGAACTCATTGAGAAGAATTTGGAGACCCCTTTATGCAAGAATGGTTTTCTTTTAGATGGCTTCCCTCGGACTGTGAGGCAGGCAGAAATGGTGGGTGGCTTAGCTTTTGTGTCACCACTGCATGCAAATTAACTCTGGCCCTTTATCTCTTAATTTCTGTGAAGGAGATGGGTTTCATTGAGTTCTGGTAGCTTAGGTGGGCCGCACACTCTCTTACAGCTCGACGACCTCATGGTGAAGAGGAAAGAGAAGCTTGATTCTGTGATTGAATTCAGTATCCCAGACTCACTGCTCATCCGGAGAATCACAGGAAGGTATTTGTCTCCTGAACTCCCAATAGGAAGATTCCTTCTTCTCAGACTTTCTCAGACTTTGTCAAACTGTGGGAATTGCTCTATCCAGATCTCAGTCTGAAGATTAGTACCATTTCAACATAGATTGGTTTTTTTTGGTGATATCTGCTGAAGTGGTGACATAAGATGGGGATATGGAGAGAAAAGCAAGAGATTTGAAGTCAGACCACACCTCAGGCCGGTCACCTTGTAACTCTGACCTCAGGCAAGTTTCGTAACCTGTCTAAGGCTCTTTCCTCCTCTGTTGAGTTAATGGTACTTACTTTAAGGAACTAGTATTCATGTCAGATAACATAAGATGCATAGTTCAGAGCCTTGCTCTGTTTATAATAGGTACTCAAGAAATGTTCATGTCTTAAATGTGTATCTCTTTCAGTACTTTTTTTTACCTGATTTCAGTTAAGAGTTACCATATGTTGCTGTAGGCTTTTTAATAATTATAAAAATAATGTAACTATCTGCATCAAGTTTAGAAAATAGAGGAGAAAATTGCTCATAGTCCAAGCCACCTTGCCAAGACCACTTTTATTTTGTGTGTGTGTTTTGCTTTAGAGTTTCTTTTCAGAAGTCAACATTGAGCACAGAAATTAATTTCCTTTAGAACATGTTTATTCTGAAAGACCATTAGTACTTTGTTATTGTTGTTAAGAGCCAGTGAGTCAGTTCTAACTTATAGCAACCCTATACAGGGTTTTCAAGGAGCAGCTGGTGGGTTTGAACTGCTGACCTTGTGATTCACAGTCCAGTGCTGATTCTACAGCACCACACCAGGAGTCCAATAGCGCTTTAGACTACACTTTCTGTCTTATTTTCCCAGTCATTCTCCCATCTGCTTTATGCCTTCCAGAAATGTGTTGGAAGCTCTTGACTACAGGTGGGTTCTCCCATTCTCTTTGTGGGCTACTGCTGTTTTCTTTCTTTATTATTTTAATCGAGTGTCAGGAAAGTAGTCGCCTCACCCTTTTGAGACAGACATCTGTGGCCATTATTTTTAATTACTGCCTGATAGGTTCCTCAGTAGATGAACTGTCATTTATTTCATTATTCCCCTGTTGTTCTACATTTTTGATCGTCTGCTGCTAGATTGATGCTGTGATCATCATAGTACTTCTGTGTTTTTTTATTTAATTAGAAGAGAGATATTTTCAATTTTATTACTATTATTTTCCAATGAGGTTCAACATTTGTCCATGTTTCTATAGTCTATTATTTCAAGGAGAGACTGCAGATAGCAAAGAAGTTATGTCTACACATGGTGGGGGTGGGATCACCTAATTTAATTTCTTTTCAAATGCCTGCAAAGGTTTCTAACTATCTCATAGAGTCCTTCAATGCAGGGGCCTTGTCTTTTACTTCTTTGCATTCCCATTGGGTACAGAATAGACAAGCAAAGTTGATTTAGGCCAAGAAGGCTAACTAACAATTAGAGGCATTACCAGGGCTGGCCTCTCTGAGGTGCAAAGGGGAGAAGTTAGTAGAACCAGGTAACACCAGGGACCTTTGATTTGATTGGCCCAGCTTCCCAGATGCCTGCTTTGTATACAACACAGTGCTAGGAACCAGCACAAGGAGACCAGAAGGTGATACAGAAGAACTGAATGAGAGATCCATCTCTGACCTCTTGAGTATTTGCAAACATGAGCTCTGCTGGGCTCTATGGTATAGTAGGAAGTCCAGGGGCGGAAGACTGACTAGGAAAAGTAATGTCAGATCTTACTTTCTTGGATGAGGATTTCAGCGAAGCTTTCCCAGAATGGAATAAAGGCAGGACTGAAATAGAGCTAGGGAGGAAGGGGTTATGATTCTAGCTGGGACTGGGGACAGACATGTCTACACCAAGTTGGAGGAGTCGGCTGGGAGACTGGTAGTAGAGTGAGTGCTGTTGGGAAAGCTTAATGGCAGCCTGATGGGAAGGTCTACTGAGCCGAAGAAGTCAACTTGACAAAGACTCTCAAGAGGCATCGTCGGCAAAAACAGCATTCCCAGAACGTTAACTTGGTCCTGCATGCAGGTTAAAGTGGGGATGAAAAGCAGGCAAGAGCCCCATCTAAGAGCCTGATCATGACCCACATGTGAAATGATGGAGGCCTGGAGCTGGGTTGAGTGTAGGGAACAGCCATTCTAGAGGGTCCCTCAGTTTGTGAGTGACATGGTTTAGTCTGAACACCTCTTTCACAAAGAAAGAATGAGGCAGGCTAGACTGGTAAAGGTGTTTTTCCAAGTTCACTCAGTAGATCAATGACAGTACTAGCACCAAAAGCATGCTTTCTGGCTGTTAGTCCATTTACAGTAATTGTTGGAAAAAAAGAGGCAGGAACTAGTTGGTTTAATAAGAATCTTATTTAAACCTGAGGTGATAGAAGAGCCCAATGTAACCATCATCTGAATTAACTCTGGCTTCATTTCTAATAATTTTATGAGGTGTTACTTTATTTCTTGAATATTCAGTGTTGGCTCTGGTGTGGCACTGTAGGATAAGCACTGAATTGCTTGGAAACCCTATATAGGGTTACTGTCAATCAGAACCAACTTGACAGCACTCAGTAACAACAGTGTGTCACACTGGAGATAGCTGATCCCTCCATGCCATTACCTCCTCCAGGCCAGGCCCAGTGACTTGTAACACTGTTCTGATTGGCACTTGAGACCAGTCCCAATCAAGTACTTGGAAATTGCACTTTCTTTATTTCTTTCCCATCCAAGAAATGAGCCTTAAAATGATCTTTGTGAGTGGGGAAAGAACAATATGTTTTGTGTAACTGAAGAGTCAAAGGGATCTTGGAATAAGTAGAAGATGTAGAAAGAAGAGTGTTGGATTTGTTGCAGTCTGGGTTGTTATGTGCCTTGTTCTGCAGATGGAGAATAGATACCATGGTCCAATAGATACCATACCCAAGGGAAAGCTGTGGCTGAAGTGACCACCAGAGGAGCCCCTGCAAGGGCTCATGTAAAAAAGTCCTGACCTCACGGTACATAATGACAGTCACAGTCATACTCACTGCTCAGTGCAGCTTATTTCCTTTCCCCCAACACTCCTCTCCCACCTTGTGCCATAGATAGACCACCTGCCCCCAAAACAATATGCCACAGTTAAAGCGTCACTTTTATCAAAATATGGCTTCAGTATTTTTTTAACACTTTTATTTTGAATTGAATGATAGTTTACATGGGAGAACATCAGTTTTGCACTCAAACAATCGTATTTTGATTCATTGCAATGATTACAAACACCTCCATGAACCATCTGTTAATAGTATTTGCTTCTAACTTCTATTGCCTCTCTCTCTTTTTTTTTTTTTTTTGATGCACACAAAAACACTCAGGAATATACGATCATTTAAACAACAAAAGAGCACATTCTGCAAGCCATCCTCCTGGCCACCAGCACACAGCCTTTCTCTTTCCATGAGTCTAGAGTCCTCAGCTGCTCCATCTCCCCATGTCATCATCTCTGCCTCCATCCCTGGTGTTGCTGCTTTTCTGGTTAGGATCCCACATTCCACTAGTGCTCTTCTCTCTTGATGGTTCTAGGGTCCTCTGTTCCTGGACTGTAACATTAACTACTCCCCCCCTTTTTGTTACACAACTTCTACCTTTACAGTTGTGACAGTCACAATTAGTCATGATAACAATTATCACTATTGAATGGCTTCAGTAGTCTTAACACAGAATTTCCCAACTGATATGCCAAGATATTGATCCCCTCAGACATCAGAGCATTGGGAAAGAGTCTGAGATGGTGGTACCTCCCCCAGGAGAAACAAATAGCCTCTTCTGTTTACCCCCAAGTTTGTACAAGTATCTTTGTGTGTGCCATGGTGTAGAAAATGTTGGGAAGCTCTTGTCTAACAGACCTTCGTGAGCAGAGCCACTATGCTATCAGTTAAATAAGCAAACATTTGGTTGGCTCTACATTGGGAAACTGCTTGAACTCAAGCCAACCCTGACTGCTGAGCAGTGTTTAGCCTGCTTCCTTCCTGTCCTAGGTTTCTGGCCTGCTGGTGGTGCTGTTGAGTCAGTTCCGACTCAGCAATCCTGTATAGGGTTTCCAAGGAGCAGCTGGTGAGTTTGAACCGCTGACCTTGCAGTTCAAACCAACCTTGCAATCTAGCACATTAACCCACAGCGCCACACCAGGTGTAGCCACTCAAAATCAGGACCATGGATATGTTGCCTCAGGGGGCTTAGATAAATGCTTGTTCTTGGTTCTTTATTCCATGATTTATTTAATGTTGCCCTATAATTAGTCTGTCCTTTAACTGTGTAACCTGAAAGGTGTGCTGTATTGGCTGGTGGTATCCATGGGGCATATTTTTCCTGTGGCATCTTTCTGGTTTTGTAGCCAAATTAAGTTGGAAAATAGGGTTAATTTCTCTGTCATCTGTCACCCATAGCACTTTGTACAAATCTCTAGTAGAGAATGATCTCATTTATGAATTTTATTCCATGTTTTTGTCTCCTCCTAAATTAATCACTGCTTGTGAGCAAGGATCTTAACTGGTTTCTTTAAAACCCCTGGATTCAGCTTAAGACCTGAATCAGACCAGGCACTTAATGTTTGCTGAATGAACTGATAAATAGATGGTTAACTGTGTGAAAACAGCACCAGAATTCTTTCTCTCAAGTCCTGAATTAGGTTGTTATGCAGCAATTGGCTTCTTGAGCCAGATACTCAAAAACACATACTACTGTGGCATTAGCTCTTCTGAAAGCTGTTATTTTCCTAAGCAATAAATGCCTTTTTTTTGGGTCTTTGCTGGGTGAAAATCCTTCAAGTCCAGTTTCTCTGTCTATGCTTGTCACCTGGGCAACCCTGGGGCTGTACTTTCAGGCAACCTGACTCATATTCATTTGATGTCTTTCAGGTTGATTCACCCCATGAGTGGCCGTTCCTACCACGAGGAGTTCAACCCCCCAAAGGAGCCCATGAAAGATGATGTATGTGAACTCACAACAGGAAATTTTCACTTCCTTTCCTCTCCACTTCTTCTTTTGCTATTTCCTTTTCTGTATCCACTCTTTCCATCTTCCCTTTATTTCCACCAACATTACTAACTTAACTTCACAAGGAGAAATGTCACTACCAAGTAAGTCAAGAGCGCTATGACTATCTACACAGTATCTCCCCAGGAGGTTTATTTCTTGACCTTGAGGTAACTTCCTTCCCGGGGCCTAGCTTATTTCTCTCATCTGTCCTGTTGTTGTTGTTGTTGTTTAGTGCCGTCGAGTCGGTTCCGACCCATAGCGACCCTGTACAGGGTTTCCGAGGGTGTAAATCTTTACGGGAGTAGAAAGCCTCATCTTTCTCCCGCGGAGCGGCTGGTAGTTTCGAACCGCTGACCTTAAGGTTCGCAGCCCGATTCGTAACCACTACGCGTAGAAGCCCAGAATTAGAGGTGAGGAAACAGTACTTGAAGAGAAGCTTGCTGGCCAATCTCAGAAGAGTCCTCTCTTCTAGGGAATACTCTGCTGTACTCTACTGATTCGAAATCTCTTAACTAGATTAATAATAACAAGTTCCTACGAGTGTTCAGCTCCTTGTCAAAGTAAAGGGGAAAGTCTCATACAAATTTTGCATGTTTACTGTATAAACTGGACAATGAATATGAAGGCCAAAGAAGAAGTAATGCCTTTGAATTATGATGTTGGTGAAAAAAATACTGAATATACCATGAACTGCCAGCAGAACAAACAAATCTGTCTGGAAAAAAGGACAGCCAGAATGCTCCTTAGAAACAGGACCAGTCCCTGGAAAAGAACATCATGCTTGGTAAAGTAGAAGGTCGGTGAAAAAGAAAGTAAGGTTGATTAACACAGAGGCTATAATATTGACCTCGAACATAGTGGTGAGTGGGAGTCTGGCACAGGACGGGGCAGTGTTTCCTTCTCTTGTACATAGAGTTGGTATGAATCGGAACCAACTTAAAGACACCTAACAACAGTTAACATTTGCCATGAATAGTCCATGTGATCTGTTTTAGAGCATACAGGCAACAGTAAGAATTTCCTGGATTTATCTTAGTCATGAGATGAGTTCACTAGGTCCTTCTGATTCTACAAATACAAGTGCATCTCACAAAGTTGGTCATTCTACCATTCACAGAGTTCACTTGGCACGTTTAGACGTTTGATGGGGTGACACTCTAGTTAATGCACTAAATACTTAGGCAGATTATGGTTGCTAATGCATCTCTGATTTCAATATATTTTCCTGTTCTCAGGGGACCTCTATCTTCCTTGCATTTTGCTTCTGATCATAATCATGTTCATCATGAGAGTACAAAGCTACAAGAGAAAGGCAGTGCCCATCTTTCTCTCAAGAAATCCTTTCCCCACATTGCTGTTTCTGACAACTGACTTTTTTGAACCAGCTGGTCCACCTCTGGGAGTAGCAGTTCCTTGTCGGAGAGGTTTAGATTATCTCTCTTTCCTCTTGTGGAATCAGGAATCAGATAACATCTGGACAGAATGGACCCTTCTCAAATCTGCATCTGGCATCAGCTAGGAAACCTTGTTAACAGCTCTGCCTCTTCCTCTTCTCAGATCACTGGAGAACCTCTGATCCGCCGATCAGATGATAATGAGAAGGCCCTGAAAATCCGCTTGGAAGCCTACCATACTCAGACCACCCCACTGGTGGACTACTACCGGAAACGCGGCATCCACTGTGCCATCGATGCGTCCCAGACCCCTGATGTCGTGTTTGCAAGCATCCTAGCAGCCTTCTCCAAAGTCACATGTAAAGACTTGGTTATGTTTATCTAATGTTGGGTCCAAAATGAATTCCTTTCTTTTTCCTTTCCCTGTTGAGGAGGAGCAGGATTGGAAGGACAGACAGAGGGAAGTTTACTCAGACCAGCAAGATTATCATCTGATGTACTGATTAAAGAAGCATTTTGCTTGATGTATTTTTAGTGTATGTGCAACTCTCATCTCATCTGTGTGTGTGTGTGTGTGAGTGTGAGTATAAATATGTGTACACTCTCCTACTTCTTAAATTACAGGCTAGGTTGCTTTATCAGCAGTTTAATTCTGTGCCACACCCTTGGTTTTATTGTTTGATGAAAATTAATTAACCTAGGTATTTACCAGGCATCCCAAATCCAAAACTTGTTATATATCCCATCTCCAGCAGCTGACCAGGAAAAGCCCAGGATCACATGAAGTCAGGTAGGGTCAAAAGTCCTAATGGCAGGTTGTTGGCAGGGAATTCCATTTGTTTTCTAGCCCACAGTAAAAAGACACATGAGTCAGTGTGTGAATAGGGATCATTCTTTTTTTTTTCCCTAAATGGAAGAAAAAAGACAATCACAGATTCCAGAAATCACTATAAGAGGGTATCACCATACAACCCTATACAGGGTTTCCAAGGAGCGGTTGGTGGGTTTGAACTGCCGACCTTACAATCCAGTGTTTATCCTATAGCCCCACACCAGGGACATCCAAATCCACTTCTCCAAAGAGAGACCAGGGTAGGTTTGTTTGATTTCATTTTTAGGTTTCCTTATGTTTCCAAATGGAAAGAAAGCAGTGATTTAGGGGTGACTTATTCCTGGATTTATTTGATTAAAATATGTTCAGCCCCAGTTCCTCCAGGGTATAAAACCAAAATCACTGTGTCCCTTTTAAACTCAGTCCTTCCCCTTCCAGATCCTGTGCCTCTCCCCTTACTTCATGATGGCAGGGGCCACAAATACTCCTTGAAAAGAGCTCACTTAGGGCAGCCATCAACTTTTATTCATAACCTCAGTTCCCCAACCACTAAGTGTTCCTGGGATCCATGCTGGGCCCTTTGGATTCTGGCTTTGATTTGTGGCAAACAGATGAGTTAATAGACTGCTGTGAGGGACCGAAAAAAAAAGAGCCACCTTGGAAAAACCATTAGTAAGTCAGTGACAGGTCCAGTAAATAATACCACCTACCTCAGTGTAATCTACTGGCTGCATGGAATGGACTCTAATGTGCCCAGCCCCAGCTGACCGGAGTTCTCCTGCTATCGGTGGGGCTACCAGAGGGCTTATTCCTGTCCACGTGGAAGTGGGGTATGGGTATGTGGCCTTCTTGCTTTCCTCTTTCTCTGATCCAAGTGAGTGTCTACTGGCTCTGCTATGTCTTGTTTCTCTGGCTGTAAACTAATTCCACCCTATCTTAATGGAAATCCAGTCTGGTGGTATGTGCTTCTGGGAATCACATGACTTCTGGGAATGGGTGGGGAAGAATAAATCCAAAACTATCAACTGTTAGCTGTACCTGCAGAGAACTGGGACCCTTCTCTGGGTGAGGGTGACCTCATGAATCTTGGGAGTCTACTTTCTTTGATGGGAGACAGTTGTAGGCATCAAAAGTCGAGGCTGCTGCGTGCTTACTAACTGAACATGCACAATTTTTGCTCAGATATTTGTTGTCCATCCACGTGCATACACAGAACTAACAGGCCACAGGATGCCTCTGCCCTTTTCAGGGTGGTTAGGGTTCAATCTGTGTTTTATTTAATTCCAGAGCCCTAACCTCAACAGACCATGAAAACTTTCGACTGGCAGAGAAACAGCCAGGGTTGAATGCATTTGGTTGCTGGGGCATGCATGCCAACCATCTCTGAATTTGTTTGGTTTTTAAAATCCCGTTTTGTTTTCTTGTTTCCTCTCTATTTCAGCCTAGTAACAGAAGGCCAAGCGAGACTGCACCGTTGCTCATCACCCTGCGGCGTGATCCCTGCTCTTAGGTGCTGGGCAGAGGGGAAGGGTGGTCAGGGGCTCAAGAGGTGTATTGGGGAGAGCAGCAGTGTTACTGTAATGAGGTGGGTTTGGTTTTGTTTTGATTCCACAAAGGTGGGAGTTGTTAAAAGTATAAGAAAGGAGAAAATTAATTTTTAATGAAAAACCAATACTGTGATTGGGGAGTGTGGGTAGAAATAGGGAACAACAGTATTACAATTTCTATGGAATCAGGTTTTCATTCACTCTGTACTGGTGACGACACTTTTTAAGCTGGTGCCCTCAGACCTCAGCTTTCATCTCAGAACCTCATGAGTTGCCAGTCCAAGAATGCAGGAAAATAAACTATTGTACTGTCTTCCCTATAACTTGGAATAGGAAGACTTGGACTACTGAATCTGATTCCCCACAGCATGAAATCAAAAATTCATCTCCACTTTTGAAAGAGATCCATGGTGTATTCACAGGATGGTGGCTCGGTGAATCCAGTTGACTGGAGTCATGGGGAGGGGTGGGCAGGCGAGTCTCACTCTCTTCCCTCCCTTGCCACTGAGTTACCAGTCTGCCTGCGCTCAGGGATCAGCTCCCAGCAGCCAGTCAGCACACAACACAATCTTACGTTCTTCCCTTCATCCGTCCACGGTGGAGCCCTTTTTAATAAATAAGCAAGTATCCTAAGCAATATCATCCAAAGATTGTCCTTTCCATCCTCAAATCCTGTAGCTGGGATCACTCGACAGCACTGTGATGTATACTATTTTCAGTGAGGTGCCTTAAGTGACCAATTGCTGCCTTGTTTGGCCTCTAAGTCAATAAACTATGTTAAAAGTTTGTATCCCCTGTTGTGGCATTTTTTGAAGGGCTCTGGGCTAGAAAAATGGCATTAAATTCTGGCTGGGTCTGGTTTGGAAGTCCTTTCTTGTGGTTACTTAAAGCCTTGTCTAAGAGACTCAGGTGTGTATTCATAATCTGACCCTTAACTCTTGACCATCAGGTCTTATGCAGACTTTCCTTGAGTCCATGGACAAGGCAACTTGGTCTAATGGAGACAGCTTTGTGCGTGGAGCTAAGGGGACTTAGGTAAATTCCATATTATCTGAAGGGACCAGCCTCCTGAAGGAGAACATCAGTGAAAAGAGGAAGATTCAATGAGATGGATTGATACAGCAACTGCAACAATGAGCTCAAACACACAATTGTGAGGATAACACAGAACCCAGCAGTGTTTCCTTAGCTATGAGTCAACCAAATCCACAGCACCTGGATACATTCCAGCCAGTCATTCACTCTGCTCTTGTTTCCTTTTCTGAAAAGGAAGGCTGGTTATGCCATGTTCTCTGACGAGTTGGTATCAAATGACATTTATAAAGGGAAGCTTTTACTCGGTGCATGGCATTCAGCAGACACTGGATAAAATTAAGTTGCATCAGATATACGCAAAAATACCTGTTTTCTGTCAGGTTGAATAACTGCTGAACAGATAGTTGTCCACAGCCTAGCTTCCTAATCCATGAGCCAGATTTTTGGCTGCCTTTTCACCTGCCTCTTTAACACTGTTGGTTGCTTCTTTGCCCTACTTTAACCCATCTCCTTGACTCATTTGTCTAAAGTGAAGCACTGTGCATTTTGAAAGGGATGCCTTTGCCAGTGAGATTTTTTTTTTTTTTTTTTTTTTTTCATGTTAGTGAGGTTTCTGAGAAATGACTATTGTTCCTGAAATGTGAGGGGGCTGAGCTTGAGGCACACCATTTTCTCTTCAGGCATTCTTGCCCCTGATGAAGGAAGAGTCATCACTAGTGTACTAGATCCTGCTCCCTGAGTCAGCTACCCCCTCTTCTGTTTTCACCGTGCCCCGCATTGGCTGTCATTTCCAGTTGTCAACCCAACTTGTTTTTTCTGATCCTTTTGTTCCCTGAGCTATTTAAAGGCCACGTAAAAAGTGTCTCTTGGTCAACATGGACCCTATTGAGGGGAAATATTTTTTCAAACCTGCCGGAGAGGCAGAATGGTACAGTTGAAAAACCTAAAACTGAAAGATGAGGTGAGCTATCATTTACTTCTTTGGGTCTTGGTTGTCTCTTTTGCAAACCAAGAATCACTGCCATTCCTGGAGGACAAACATAGTGTCAGGTGCTATGCCGAGGCTGGTAAATCACATCTACAACGTCTTTCATGTGTCCAGAATTGTATTATGGATGAGGAAACCAAGACAAGAAATGAAATTCTCTATTTCCTAAGTTTCCACAAAAGGGGCAGAGTTCGCATTCAAACTCAAGCTTCTGACACTGGAGTCCTTGACCTTGTTGCTAAAGTGATTTAGTGACCTGAAATTTTACAGGCAGGAAGGGCCCCTCCAAGTCAGACCTCTTTTTTCATGGTTACTCACACTGCCAGAATGGATTATGTGCAAGTCACTGCCAGTTCGAAGGACCCAGTTCAGAGTAAGTGTCTCAAGATCTCTTGTGCACAAAGTGTTACAGACAGAACAGAGTGGAATGAAGAGCAACCTCCATCAGGAAGCCTCACAAGTCTCAAAGGGCAGCCAATGAGTCAGAAGACAGATTTCCATAGCAACTCTGTCATCATGAGACCTTGGGCAAGTTACTTCACCTCATCAGGATATGCTGGTAACACTGGTGACCAAGGTATGTGGGTCAGGGTTCCCTGGACACTCAGTAGATGCTAATGGGATTCAGAGAAAAAGTAGGCATTGGTGGGAACCGTTATCTGCCTGAATTTCAGACACCTGCCTGAGGAGCCTGTGGAACTCTGAAATTGTATGTAGGATTCTATGTATTTGCATTTTCATTACTAGTCTAACATGCACTGAATGTTTATTGTGTGGTCAGTTCTGCAGACACTGTCATCTCACTTACTCTAAGTAACCTTGTGGAGGTAAGAACTATTATGTTCCAGAATGGATTTTAAGGTTCATACATCTAGTAAAAGTCCTGGTGTGGCACTGTAGGATAAGCACTGGACTACTAACCATAAGGTTGACATTTTAAACCCACCAGCCACTCCTTGGAAACCCTATAGGATTGCTATGAATCAGAACTGGCTCCATGGCACCCACAACAGCATCTGGTAATGGTAGAACCAGGCTGTGACCCTAGGTAGTGGCTATGCAGCCCATGTCTTACCACCACGATAAGTGCTTTGACATTCAGCTTGGATCAAGGGAAAGCTGTCCAA